GAAGAAGAGGAGAATGAGACAAGAGGTGTTAGGCCCACGGCTCAGGGGGAGCTACTTACCTATAGTAGGAAGGGGAAACAAATTACGGGAACAGTATCTACAGTGCCACCGGTGCCAAGTCCCTTGCCAACGCCTGCTCCGACTCTTGAGACACCTACACCACCACCAGATTCCTCTCAAGGTGATATCATTCCTCTTCCTACTCCTCCCACACCAATATCTGTACGGAGGAGTACTCGTAGTAATACGGAAAATCCTCCCGATAGATATGGTTGGGATCTTGTCCAGTTTGTATCATATTCTAATAGCCACCCTGCACATAGAGCATTCATTGCATCACTGGACTCTGTCGTCTGGTGGTAAAAGGGTATAGTCAGACATATGGCATCGATTATGATGAGACTTTTGCACCGGTAGCGAAGATGAGCACTGTTCGGACCTTAATCTCTCTGGCAGTAAATGGTGGATGGAAGCTACACCAACTAGATGTGAAGAATACATTTCTTCATGGAGATCTAGCGGAGGAGGTATACATGGAGATACCACCAGGATTCAGTACAGATCAGACAGTAGGAAAGGTCTGCAGATTGAAGAAGTCTCTCTATGGGTTGAAGCAATCTCCCCGTGCTTGGTTCGACAGATTCAGAAGGGCTATGATTGGTATGGGATACCAACAGATCAACGCCGACCATACAAGACGGGCTATGATAGGTATGAGATACCGACAGATTAACGCCGATCATACCGTGTTCTTTCGACGAAATGAAGGTCACATCACCATGCTTACGGTATATGTGGATGATATGATTATTACCGGGGATGATGAGAAGGAGATTGCCCAACTCAAAGTGAGACTGGGTAAGGAATTCGAGGTGAAAGATCTTGGCTTGCTTCGATACTTTCTTGGAATAGAGATAGCTCGAGGAGCGGAGGGAATCGTCCTATCCCAGAGAAAGTATGCACTGAATCTTCTTAAAGAGACAGGGATGTTAGGGTGCAAACCTGCAACTACACCGATCGACCAGAAGTTCAAGCTAGGTGCTGAGGCTGGAGAACCAGTTGATCGTAGGCTGGTGGGAAGATTGATCTATTTGAGTCACACACGTCCTGATATCTCTTTTGCAGTGAGCGTGGTGAGTCGCTACATGCACGATCCGAGGAAGGGTCATATGGACGCTGTGTACCAGATTCTGAGATATTTAAAGAGTGCCCCCGGGAAGGGACTGATATTCAGGAAGAATGGACATGTGAACATCGAGGGTTATTGCGACTCTGATTGGGCTAGCTGTGCTGATGACAGGAGATCCACCTCAGGATATTGTATCTTTGTAGGAGGCAACTTGGTCTCGTGGAAAAGCAAGAAGCAATCGGTGGTAGCGAGATCAACAGCTGAAGCAGAGTATAGGGCCATGGCCTTAGGAGTTACAGAGTTGTTGTGGTTGAAGAGTATGTTGATGGAGCTGAAGCTGGATCAAGGAGCCAAGATGAAGTTGTGGTGTGATAACAAGTCAGCCATCAGTATCGCCAACAACCCAGTGCAGCATGATAGAACCAAACACATCTAGATCGATAGGTTCTTCATCAAAGAGAAGTTGGACAATGGACTACTGGAGTTAAGTCATGTTCCAACTAAGGATCAGGCAGCAGATTGTCTGACTAAGGGACTTAGCTTAGTAGATATGATTAGATGATGTGACAAGATGGGCTTAGTGGATATCTTTCGCCCATCTTGAGGAGGAGTGTTGAAATATTAATAGGTTTAGGGGCTTATTTGTAAGTTGTAGGGGCCTATATAAGCTCATGTTATCTCATGAATAAGATTAGGGTTTCTATTTCAACTGTCACATACAAGCCTGCTTAAAAATGAAAAAAGAACTTGTCAGTGACAAAGTAAATTTTGGGTTCCAACAACTGATCTTCCTTTAAATCTCCCTCTTCTATTATTCCTTTTCTTCATCAATGTTACTTTTACATTCCTCGTATGCCAACTGGTATGTGTTAGCCAAGCCTCAATCCCTAACTTTTTTGGCCACAAATTGATCTTCAAGTTAAGTTCCACACGTCTAAGTTCTAGATGCACATGACAAGAAAAGTCAAGGAAATACCCTAACCTCAGAAGAGAAATTTGTCCACAAGATACAGAAGAAAAGAAATAAGGAAAAAACAGATTTTGGTTGCAATAGTAGCATTTAATCTTGGGGAACATTTAGTCACATCAGATGACATAGAAAATTAAAATTATGCATTGGAGATTTCACTCAACTGGATGGCTACAATTTGTTTCCCAATAATATTAGCCTTTCTCACAGAAGGAAAGAAGTACAAGCACACATTGGAGCAATGCAATAAAAGCGCGGCTAAATGTTAAAAACATGATTCATGTCCCATATCCTGCATGAAGACCTGATAAAACTTCACACAAATTGCAATAACAAATCAGACAAAGGTATCTTGAGCTTCTAAGTACGAAGCACATTCACTTTTGTTACACAAGACTGTTAGCTTATTCAATGTAAAAGTAACGCATGATAGAAAAACTAACTTTGCAAGATTATACAAGATGTCAAGAACAAAGAAAAAGAAGTTACCTGAATGAATGTAACCTCGCTGCTAATTTGTCTTCATCCTGTTTTTGCTTAATTTTTGCAAGTTCTTTCACTTTACTTAAATAACTTCCCTAATCATGATAAAATAAAATGAACATCATCTCAGATATTGACACTGAAATAACTAGTAGTAGTACTAATAAAATCAACAGTTGGGAACATTCTAAGTAGATTCCTTCTGTCAAATGTTTAATGGTCTGTTAAAGAATGTTATAATATTAAAAATAAAAAAATTGGCTGAAAACAAATAAGTAGGATGAAAACATTTAAGCACACCAACTGACAGCAAAGCAACCAAGAAAAGTCAAAACATAGGCATGTGGTAGATTGCACTGGAGAGCATCCTATATGATTAGCCAAGCGTTTTAAGGATCATAAAAGGAAAAGCAAGACCAACAGAGAGATGGAGAAAAGCTTCTAGAGGTTTGGAATGATTGTGATGACGTCAAAATAGACTTTTTAAGAAATGTGCGGAAAACAGGGTCCTAAGAGATATAGCCACATATTATGGAGACACAGGTTGATAGTTAGAGTTTGCAGGTAGAGACACATATTGTGGCCAAGAAAAATGGCCACTTTCACTGCAGGAGATTGCCAAAATTAAAAATGTATTGTGCTATTGTGTAGGAAACATGTTTGTTGTTTCCTTTGTGGGAAAGGTAATAAACAATGCTACTGGATCCTATTCGGTTTCGGACATATAAGAATCAACTGCATCCGCCAGTCCAGACAAATAGGAACATCCACAGAATCCTAATGTTTTTTAACCACAAGCTCAAGTGATTGAAATGTACAAATGTTTAAAAAAAATTGACTAGCTTGCATGCAAGAAAAACCTGACTGACTCTATCGCATAACTTTCCGTTTAAAAGTGGTACTTTTGACATGTAGACCAAAGTTCAGCTCCTAAGCTTAAAACTGCTCTGTTGCAGCAAAATAATATATAATAACTACAAAAAGGTAAGTCTGCACAAAAGGCACAGATATTCAGCACATCCCGTACAGACCTAATTAAAGTCGTGATCAAATATATATATAATAGTGTGTTCACGTGTGGGGATGGAAACAATAAAATATTATAACCAATGAGATAAGAAACTTCTGCTACCCAGCTGCATATAAAAGAGAACCCTACGTTCAGGAGGGTGGGGGGCAGTCCTAATGGAATTTGGAAACTCATTACCCCAATGAGTGAGCTGCACTACTTCAGAAAAGCCCACAAGAGTAGCTGAAGAGATATTTTGATTGCCAATGTTTATATACTAGGACAGGACAGTTAAAGATGAGAAGGGGAAAAAAAGGAACAAAAGTTCAAAATTCATCCTGGCATATATTAAATCACACACACAAATCAAACAACATACTTCCAATTCAGCAGCTCGACTATGTCTATCAAAGACTCGTCCTCTTTTCTTACTCTTTTTGCGCTGCAACTTTTTCCTTGAACCATTAGATGTATTTTCCGGTATTGAAGAAGTATTCAAAGATGTAGATGAACCCACGTCATTGTTAACAATAGCTAAATTTCCTGAACAAACAATTTCTTTCCCTGTGATGAATGACTGATATGCTTCCCTGCACAGTTTCAGGCAATATGTAGTAACATTAGTGTTAAAATGAATTGATGTGTCAATAAGAAAATACAGAATAAACTTCTCCTAATCATGTAGAAACCACAAATTAAAGAGATACTGGTATGACCGAGATCCCACGCACGTTTTCTCCAAATATGCATGTACATGCATAAAGGTAAATGTATAGTAGTATATGAAAAATGCAGTTATTCATCTGTATATTAATAAAGTGTTTTCTTCCAACTAAGTACTATAGCTCGAAGTTAAATTTCACTCTTCTGGTTGCAATTCCACATATTATACCAAAATTATTAAATGCAAAAAAACTGAAAATGGAACTCAGACTAGGGTCGAGATGGATAATGGAGGGGGATGAATAATATATGCAGAAGAGGATAATAAGCAATTTAAGCGGATAATGCTTGTGATCTTTTAACTAGTAGAAAAATGAACAAACTAGACGGAACAAACTAGACGGAATTTTTTTCCGTCTAGTTTGAAGCAAACTAGACAGAAAAAATTCCGTCTAGTTTGTTCCGTCTAGTTTGAGTCAATCTAGATAGAAATTTCCGTCTAGATTGACAAACCAGACGGTTTTTTATTTTTTTTTAAATAAACACTCAATCTAGACGGAATTTTCGTCTAGATTGATGCAACCTAGATGGAATTTCCGTCAAGGTTACCTAAAAAAATTAACGCCTCCCCCTCTTTTTTTCATTTCCCCGCCTATTTTTTTCATTTGCCCCGTCTCTATTTCCTCCCATCACCATCTAAAAACCCCCAAACTGGCCAAATCCTCTCTCTCTCTCCAAACCCCCAAATCTCTCCCTCTCATCTCCACACCGCAGATCCTCAACCATTTCTTCAACAACATCGACCTGGGCCAGGCCCAGTCCGTCCTCTCCGCCTCCCCCTCCGCCGTCTTCTTCACCGGCGTCGGCAAATCCGGTTTCCCCGCTGTCAGCCCTCGCCAATTGCTTTCGATAGTCACCAACGATTCCCAATCTGGTAATTTCCCGAGTTTTTATTTTCTTCTGAAACCCTAATCGAATCTTCAGTGTCTTTACTAAAAATGTTTATTTATTTTTGGGATTTTTTAGGTATTGAAGCAAGCTCGAAGGTCATGCTCAAAGACATGGATTTCCCTAAGCTCCAAGTAACCTTTTGTTATAATTATCGTGATAAAGATGTTTTGCAATTGGAAATCATCCCCTGTAATGGTTTATATATTTCCTAGTAACTTACATATAGAAAGAGGAGCGGGAGAGGCCGAACAACATGAACCCGCTGGCCGTGGTCGTAAGATTTATCCTTTTTATTTTGTTATTTGCTTAATGAAATTATCCTGCCATTTTTTATTCTCGTGACAATATCTCTCTTAGTTTAATTTGTTTGAAAGAATATATCATTTAATTGTTCTCAATTTCTAACTTCTGAGGTCTAAAATTTTGGGTGATTGGCATCTATATGAGTAAACTTATTTTAGATCTCACTTATAATTATTAATTAAATTAGTTCTAACTGATCATATTTGATGACTTGGAAATGTTGATTAGCATATTGATGTTCTGTGTATTTTAGATTGAATCATTCAGTTGGTACAAATTTTCTTACATGCTTTTAGGTGAGCTATCTTGCTTATTAATTGCACATGTTTTAGGTAAAACTTGTTGAAGGAATTATGAAATGTTTTGCCGGTCATTGTTGTGCCTGAAATGGCATTGAGGTAAGATGAAAGCTAAACAAGAACTCGCTGTAGCTAACATTCTGCAAGGATATAAGAATAAACATATACATTAAGAATAATTGTACACGTGTCTTGGATTAGTGATTATGTTTTGTCCAATGAACTAGTTAGCATGGCACTTGAAATCTTGTATCTGTATCAAGGATTAGTGATTATGTTTTGTCCAATGAACTAGTTGGCATGGCACTTGTAATGGTAGCTGAGAACAAAAAGATCAACCGGCTCCTTGAGGAGCTCTTTGCTGAGCAGGTACCTTCTTTATCTATTCATATATTGTAGCTGCATTAATCTTGTTTTAATTTTCAGAAAGATAGCTCCTTTTTTTAATTTTCTTTTGATAAATCTTTTGTGATATAATAGAAATTGTCTTTTAATTGTCTTTTCAGAAAAAATTGTTATCTTGGTATTACATTTACGTCGAACACTGCAAAAATTCAGATTGTTGATTAATGATATGATTCATAATATTTCGCAGTTCATTCTGCATTATTTTTCTGATCTAGCAGGATTACAGATTCACAGATTCATAAAGATTCACAGATTTGATTCCTTTCATCACAACTAAAATTGATGGTTGATGCAATCTGGCTTGCATACAGTTCCCTGAAGAATGGAATCCGCAGACTATGGTTGGTATCAAGGTAATATGATGTCTTGCTTAACCAGGATGTTCAATAGACCTGTATAGCAACATTATATGTTAGTTTTTTTTGAAGCAGTTGCCAGAAGGTGTTTTGATCTTAAGCCTTCTGCTCTTGCAGACAATTTTGCTTGTGCCTGTTATTTCTCTTGGGGTTGTGCAACTTGGGTCTTTGGATATGGTGCGTCTACATCTTATTAGACTTATTTACCAATTAAGTTGAATCTGTTGTATTCATTTCCTTCTAGCTTGCAGATTTGTATTCCAATGCTAGGTTTGATTAACTGACCTATTAAATTGATATTTTCTAGTAATACTTATTTGGTACTTAGATATTTCAGTATCACATTGCTTTCTAAGTGTAATTCATGGCATGGACTAATTGATGTTGAATTTTGTATAATGTAGGATCAAGGAGGAAGAAACATGATGCTTCAACAATTTGGAGGAGTAAATGCAATTGGATTCTATAAATTATGCAAAGTTCATCAAGTTATGTAAACAATTGTAAATTATGCAAAGTTCATCAAGTTATGTAAACAATTGTATTCTTTATAATCTATGTAAAAAATTTATGTTTCTAGTATTTTGGTGAAAGTATTTTTTGAATATAATTATATTTGATATTAAAATATAATTAGATTGATTGTGTTGGATATGAATATGATTTGGTGTTGTGCAATATTATGAACATGTTATATTATATAGCGTGTAACGTAGATTTTGCCAAAAAAAAACTACTGTAGCAGAACAACCTAGACGGAATTCTGTCTAGGTTGCTACTGTAGCACTCCGTCTAGGTTGGCAAACTAGACGGAATTCTGTCTAGTTTGCCAACCTAGACGGATTTCCGTCTAGGTATCAACCTAGACGGATTTCTTACTTCCGTCTAGGTTGTTTTCCGTCTAGGTTGGCAAACTAGACGAAATTCTGTCTAGTTTGCCCTAATCTAGACGGAAATATTCTAGACGGGGCAAATTAGACGAAATTCCGTCTAGGTGAACTAATCTAGACGGGAAATGGAGCAATCTAGACGGAAATTTCCGTCTAGATTACTTGTTTTTCTACTAGTGTTTGCTAGAGAATGTTTTTGATCAAGACAGACGATAACGATGTATTGAAGGAGGTAGCAAGAGAGGTAACATGTAACTTAATGCCCAAATATTGCATGACTTCTGTTAATGAGAACTTTTTGCTATTATGGAGCAAGCTTCGAGTGAACCTGTGAGAAGGTATTGACCAGTAGAAAGAAACACAAAGCAACAGAGGAAGACAGATTTAGACCATCTACACCTAGGAGAAAGAACTAAGTTTGTGACTTAGATTCATGGCACCCTAAAATGATGTGAAGGTAGACTCATGAGCACTACCTGTATTACGATTTAGTTTGATTCGTAGTCTCATCATGCTTTTAAAAATGTTAATAAATTGTATGGGCTAGTGTTTTCTTGATCGGATCGTCTATGAACTAACTCGAAATGATCAAAGGGAATAATAAATTATCCTGCTAGGATTGTTTTACAAAGGTAAGAGGTATACATTGTAATAGGAAATTACATTTGTGTGCTTGATTACACCTATTTCAGATTGCTGCGACAAAAATCTATAGCTTTTCAATTAGCAAGAGGGTTCTTTGGACTGCACAAATTTTTCTCAAGATGAGAATCACTCGTGCTAAAGTCAAAACAGTATCAGAAGGCACTAATTTTTCTCAAGAAAGTATCGTTTAATTGTAACCAAAAAGGATCCTTTGGATTAGGAAAAAAAGTGACGTAGTTTTGTAACTGAGGAGATCCTTTAGATTGGAAAAAAGATGTCTTTGACTCCTACCTCCTTTTTTTTCTAATCCATGATTCGGCTACTTTTGGATTAAATTTTCTTAGGTCTTTACTGAAAATGGTTCACAAACAAGTCACTCCATTGAATTTCTAAATTGATAAGATTTTTTCGATAAAGTTGGGAACTTGCGAACTAGACCTCTTTGTTTAGGATAAGGATCTTCTGGAATGTTATAGTCTCTTAATGCCTTCTCCTTTTGAGCCGTTTATTGCACAAGTTGAAGGGTGTACAACTGCATGTCTTGTTTTCTACTTTAAGAAATCTGGTTTAGTTTCACAAGAATCAACTATTAGTATGTACAGCATTTTTGTTCTCTTAGCCATGCAAATTGTTTGTGCAGTTCATCACTCTTGAGCTTTCAGGTTATTACTAGATTCACGGCACACAGTATTGTCCATAACCAAATTACCAAATGAAACTTGTTATTGGAACTGTCGCATGTATTTCTGATTTCAGCTTAACACCAAGGTTAGGTTAATAGCTTAATACCAAGGATAGCTAAAACAGAAAAAGGATTATGGTAGATCCTATGTGTATTTTGTGTGATGAGGAGAATGAATATCATAAACATCTTTTTATAAAATACATATCTTTAATTTCTGTGTGGAATTCTATCCTATATAAACTCCAAATTACTAATGTGCGTGTGGAGGATGTTATTGATCTGTGGTCTTGGAGAAATGATAGTTGTTTACATGCCAAAAAACTAAAGTGGGATGTGTCGATAAGTAGCTTTATTTGGTGTGTGGCACGGGAGAAATACGTGTATTTTTCAAGAAAAAAAAAGAGATTCTTTAGAGCTTTTGAATCAGATTTTTTTCAATTTTTTTTATTTCTGGCTCGGTGACATTTCTCCCAGGTTCAAAAATCTGACATATATTCGAAAGAAGTACAAGAATCCTAGAGTTTCAGATGTTGAAGATGCTAACGATTTGGAGCAGAGAGATATGGCAAAGGTGGCTACAATTGAGATAGCAGCAAATGAAGATCCTTTTACACAAGATGCAACAGAGAGGTCAGCGGCTGTAGAAGATGCTTTACTTGATGATGTTGCTCATGTATCAGTTTTATATACTTCCGGTTTTCTTTTGTTTTTTGGGTATCCATGCACTTGAAATGTAGTACCTAAGACTTTGGAACGGTTTACATCTTTTTGGTGTTGGGGGTGTAGACCTGCATATATTACAACCATGTGCTCTATTGAATGACAGCAGGCTGGAGTTTTCTTGAAACTCCATCCTTTTTCTCAAAAAAAAAAGTATTTCTGAATTCGGGAGGCTAAAATATCTGAAATTAGTACTTGATCCGTATAATGCTTCGAGTCATGATACAATGATAATCAATTCGAGCAAAGAAATGCAAAAAAAAAAATATTGTGAATCATAAAGTAACAGAATAGAAGAACAAAAACAAAGCTACTCACTCCCTATCATCAGTTTCTACCGACAGCGACGGGCCGGCATCCGCAGAAGCATCCTGAAAGGAAGCCATTATAATTATAATCGACATAAAACTCATCTCAACTCCTCGAAACACACAACAAAAGATATGCATTCTCACCTCAAATCCTTCTCTGAGAGCTCTCTCCACCAACTCCTCCTCCGAAAAAACCCTAAGCTCCTCAACCCTAAAAATAAAAACCACACGGCAATCATTACCACCCCCAAAAAAAAAAAGAAAATGAAATCACATCCCAATAAGCTCACTAAGTAGAGGCTTACGAGAGCTCATCGTCGAAATCGGAGGTCGAATCCAGTTCCGCTTCTAAACTCTGAAACCGAAATCAGAAACGAGCACAAGACTAGGGTTTCCAAGGCAACGATAATAAAAGAAAACCAGAAGAAAAGAAGATGAATTGGTTACTTGGAGCTCGTGGAGAAGGGAAATCTTGGAATCGGGGACAGAGGTGATGGCGCTGACGAGGTCGGGGACGTAGATTGGGCCGCCACGAGCGAAGGGGACGTGGCTGCTTTGATCGGCGCGTGGGGACTCCGATGCGCTCTCCTCCATCTTTTTCGTCAAAAATGGCGAACCGCCCCTCCTTTTTTTTCCTTCTCTCCCGGCGTGTCTAGCCTTTATGTTGGAAATTTGTATTAGCTTTGTATTGTAAAGAGTATTTTACTGTTGCTAAGCACATGTTTCGCTTAAGGGCCTGTTTGGATTTGTAGTGGGTGAAGGGAAGTTAAGGGTTTGTTTGGATTGAGGGGAATGAGGGTGAAGGGAAGTTAGGGGAACTATTCACCTCCATTCATCTTGTTTGGGAACACTTAGGAGGTGAAGTTAATTCACCCTAGTTCCCCTTGGTTTACCCCCTAATAGTATAAAAATTGTTACCCCCAAATTGGGGTGTAACCAAGGAGAAGGGAACTCTCTTCCCTTCTCTTCCCTTCCCTCAGTTTCCCTTAACTTCCCTTCACCCCCCTACAAATCCAAACAGGCCCTAAGGGAAACTGAGTGAAGGGAAGGGAAGGGAATGGAAGAGAGGGGTGAAGGGAAGTTAAGGGAAACTGAGTGAAGGGAAGGGAAGGGAAGGGAGTTCCCTTCCCCTTGGTTACACCCCAATTTGGAGGGTAATAATTTTTATACTATTAGGGAGTGAATCAAGGGGAACTAGGGTGAATTAACTTCACATCCTAAGTGTTCCCAAACAAGGTGAATGAAGGTGAATGGTTCCCCTAACTTCCCTTCACCATCATTCCCCTCAATCCAAACACCCCCCCCCCCCCGCCGCCATCTCCTCCGCCTCCTCATCCGCCGCCTCCTCCGCACCACCGCGGTGAGTTCAATCCCTAGGGTTTTGGTTTGGATGCTTTGGTGCGGCTTTGATGGATCTAAGCTTTGGTTAATGGCTTCGTTGTTATTTTGCTGCAGGTAGACGATGAGATGCTGGTCCAGAACTCAGAATACCCAAGGTCATCAGCTAATGGAAGGTAAAGTTATTTTTTGCTGAAATTTTGATGAAATTTTGATCCAATTTTGACGAAGAGATACATAAATTTTTATGCTATGGAGAGAATAATTTACTGTTAAAAGAGAAAGCAAATACAAGTCTATAATTACTTGTCCAGCGTTAGGTAAACATGCCATTACAGTGAAATGATAATGCATATCTCAACTCCTTTGTAAAACTTGACATGTTGTCATAAAGTTGAGCAGCACTTGATGATTTTCCATATCTCAACTTATTTTCAGTCAGTTGTCAAAAACTTGTTATGAATTTTCTCAATCAGATGATTAGCATGAGACATCTTATCCAGCATTGTTCATTTCTTTGGATGCAGTTTGAGTTATTTCCCAACTTTACATTGTTATATAAGCTGTCTGAGCTATTGGCTCTTAGTCAACTGTACATGTTTTTTTTCATGGAAAAATAGGCATTCTGAATTGTAGATAGCTAAACTTTTTAAAAAGATTGATCGATGAAGGCGTGATCCTGGCGACTGATAATCTTCAATACTAGCTATTTGATTCCCTAGCTATTTGATACCCTAGTTATTTGATCCCGTCGTCGTTTAGTGACATGAACCTCATTTTAGTCCCTGTTAAGTTGCTTTTTGTCTAGAATTCAGCATGGAGACAGCAGGAGTAAAAGTAAATATTCTTGGATTCCAATGAGAAAAAGTTCATTTATCATGTTTTTATATGACGATAATCCGATTTGTTATTTAACTTCTAAAATTCCATCGTTGAATTTTCTTTTATTTTTTCTCTGTTTACATTAATAGGAATCTTTGAAGACAGAGCGTGAGAAGAAACGAGAAATGTATTTTCCAAAGAGGAAATATGCCATCAAAGCATAGAGCAGCATATGGACTTTTTTTTTTTTTTTTGCTATGTTCTTCAGATTTTGTTATGAGACTTGTCTGTCTGCAACTTTTACATTATCGGAATCCTGTAGTTGTTGATCATCTTCGAAATTTCTCTTTTAGGTTTTCTATGCGTGTCTACACTCAAGATAGTGAAATTACTTGCCTGAAGACCATGAAACTGGGTTGTGATACTATGGAATTTCTGAACGTGTCATGTTCTGTATGATGTGCGCGACAACTTTGTCTCTGTTCTGATGAACTTTTTGCCTTTGAGAGGTTGGCCATTGCATTTCGTTCAAGATTAGCTATTTTATTTGTTTTCATATGTAAATAATGGATGTAAATGTATAACTGGCACCTGAATCTTTTGTATTTTGACTATGTCCATGGTATGTATACATGGACCCACTATTGTACAATTACATCTATTGTTATGCAGTATTTGTGCTTATGATGGTTTGAGAATGAACATGGTATGTGCATGTTTGAAAATGAACACATATATGCAAATTTGAAGGGTATCAGGACTATGAACTGAGTTGTATGATTTATGTGCATGTTGAGAGGTGTTCATGTATATGTTATGTACCTTACCAAATTATGTGCGTTTTGATGGCAGTCTTTTGAGCAAATCTAAATGCAAGATATAAGCAAAATACAAAAGGAATTATATTAACTTTTTGTAAAATTAGGTGATAAATTAGAATTGCATGGAAGACATATAATTAAGCAAATTCATTTGCATAGAATTACAGTAAAGATACATTGTGTATATCAACATTATCATGTACCCTCTACACTTACACTTACATCTCCGTATCCAACACGTTTACAATTAAGATAACTAAATACAATTATCCCTAGTACAACAACCAACCACACATACAAACTCTTCTTCCTCTTTTCAATTTCAAGAAGACCCTCCAACTTTGCAATTTCATTCTTCAAATTTAAGATACTCTCTAAACAATTAGCAGCTTCAAATTGATTTAGCTCCATCTCTTCATTCTTCAAATTGATTTAGCTCCATCTCTTATTTCAACTTGCTAACTTCACTATGAGACACCCTTTACTCTCTTTCATCCTATCAACTTATCTTTTATAGCCAAACTATTTCTTATGTTCAACAGTTCATCTCTAAGAAGTGGGAATAATTGAGAAGCCAAGCTACACAATGGAGGATGAAACTACTCCAATATATCACAGCCACCATTCTACAACAAAGGAGCAAAGTGCAACTATCAATTATAATTTTTTTTAAAATTAAAATAAAATACAATAAACAAACTCAAAAAAAATTACCATATAATGTGGTTCATCTATAGGAATTCCTCCTAGGATTTTCATCAGTCGTTGATGTATAATACTTGCACTGTTATTTTAAGATTGATTAATATTAATATTATTATATTATTTTTAATATTTTATATTAAAATAATCTTAAAATTTAATATTATTTTATATTATAACTATTATTTATTTAATCATTTGATGTTATATCAAGTTAAACTTGAATTTAATTGAGCTATAAATATAATATTATAAAAAGATGTCATACTAAAATTATCCCACTCAAATTGTCCCATTACCCCATTTTACCCCCACTTTATCCCACTCAATTATCCCATTGGGTAAAATTACCACATTGGAACAATTTACCCCAAATTACACCAACGAATAACCCCCCCTTAGGGGGTGAACCAAATGGAACTAGGGTGAATAACTTCACCTTCTAAATGTTCCCAAACAATGTGAATGGTTCTCCTAACTTCCCTTCACCCTTATTCCCCTCAATCCAAACAAGCCCTAAATGATTCAAATAATTAACAAATAGTTCGCTAATTGTTTAAATTACTATTCAGTCATATTTGATTCGGTAGTTCATTTAACACTAAACAAATATTTTTTAGTATTCGAGTTTGCTAACGATTAGAATTTGACCAGATGTATATTTGATCTGTTTGTCTATTAAATATGTTGGAAAGTAGGCAGACTAATATGCACTTAAAGCAAAATTTTTGACCGCCTACATCCTAAGATCCATACGTAGAAGAAGATCCAAGATAAAAAAAATTACCTGAAGCGTGTAGATAAATAACGAAGACTTGCGTACTTGTTGAGATGTTGCGCGGCAATTGAAGCGACGCCTCTACTAGTTTCCACACGAACTTGTTGGGACTCCGCACGTCAGTGTGCTAGCACTTTGAAGACGGTGGCCTTTGGAGTTTCTCTCTCTCCCTCACGATTTCAGAAGCACGGTGGGATGATCAAAAAGGTCCATCACATGCCCCCTTTTATAGGGCTGTGAGGTAGTTTCTCAAACCGTAAAGAGATCGGGATTCCAATCAGACGGTTTCTCAAAATATAATTTGTTCAAATGAAATTATATCTTTAAACCGTGATTGATCATATCAATTTGATTGCTAGGAGATAGGTTCATTGAACTTGGTCAGTATTTCTTTCAAATGTGATTAATCAAATCAATCATTATCCAATTACCCGATAGGCTCACAACTAATCATATCTCTATATGACTAAATTTATGCGGGCTTTCTTAAAAATGTTCCAACATGTTCTTGTGTGCGACCCAATATGTTTACACGATGTTGGCAGTGAGCCAAAAATACTTTTTCGGCCCACAAGTCATAAGCGGACCCTAGCAGGACATTATGACTACCCAAATCATGTAAAGGTCATCTCAGACGAAAACTAGTCCACAATGGACATATGCCGGTCTCTTCATCACTAAATATCTTGATTGAACTCAAGGCGGGAAGCGTGTCAACCTTATATAGTTCAACCTTTAATTTCTCGCACCTGAAGTTAGACTGACTTCTTAATAGTTGACTCTCAACTAATTAGGCATGGCCATGCACTTTCTCAGTCTATCTTCTTCGAGGGGCCCAGAGATATCATACTCTCATTTATATGAGAGGGACAAATTCCATCTTGACCATTCACATCCCTCTGCATGATTCATCACATACCCGATTGATACATTTAACATTATCCGTTTAGGGAAAACGTTTGGTAACATCAAAGTATACAATCCTCATGTAGGAAACCGTGATAATCTCAGGTCAAAAGACCTAACATAACCATTGTATGAAACCTATTGATGACATATATAATCCATGCAATGTTTCATAGCAGGTCAGTTCAGTATCATGTTCACCAACATATACCCATGTGATTGACTTGATATCTCATATCCATGATCCGTAAAACATGATCATTATTCAATCCACATGCTGCATATAAAATCATTAGTGTCCC